GCTCCACTCTAACTGGACCACACACACTGAACCAAGCTCCACTTTGACTGAACCACACACACTGAACAAGGCTCCACTCTGACTGAACCACACACACTGAACCAGGCTCCACTCTAACTGAACCAAACACACTGAACCAGGCTCCACTCTGACTGCTTCACACACACTGAACCAGGCTCCACACTGACTGAACACACACACACTGCTCCACACTGACTGAACACACACACTGCAACACACACACTGCTTCACACTGAGTGAACCACAGACACTGAACAACACACCCTATTGGTGCTATTTGGCTGTGTCTCTGTTCAATGGTATTGGTGCTGTTTGACTGACTGGTTAGTTTAGGTTTAATTTTGCTATTTGTTTGTCATAACAGTAGTACAGTATAATTGTTCTCTACGTTACAGTGAAGTTCTCTCAGCACTCCACATTTCTGCCCTCTTCTTATCTCTTTTTCTCTCTCTTCTTTTCTGGCTCCCTGTTTCCCTGACTTATAATTTTCTTTCGGGTCGTGTTTCTCTGAAGATCTTGCAGAAACAGATGTGCAGATGAATTAGTTGCCAATGTGTGAAAGAGCCAGGTTTCCTGAATGTCCTTCTATGTTTCTTCATGTTAAAGATATTCTGAAGTTCTTCCTCTGCCTCTTCTCTGCCTCTCTCACATCACATCTCCAAAATTACTTGCTTATATCAGGAAGTACTTTTAAAATTGAGAACGGGAGGCACTAATTTACACAAAGTGTGGTGGGGGTGTGGAACAAGCTGCACAGCCATATTGTTGAAGCTGATAGCCTGGCTTCGAAACAGCTGGATGAGATTTAAAAAATCAATTAATTACTTGAACGGCCCCCTTTCATCTGTAACCTGTCTTGTGTTCTTATATTCTTATCCTTCACTCCCTTCCAGCTTTTTTCCCACCCTTCGCTCTCTGCCTCTCTCCCTCCATCCCATTCCCACTTTCCCTGCATCCTCCTCTCTCTCCTCCCCTCCCTGCTTCCTCACTCTTTCTCTCCATCTCCCTGTCTCCATTTAATCCGAAAGGCAAGGGATTAAAAAGGCCTCTGGTTATTCTCCACACTAATTCTCTCTCTCTCCCTCTCAGACTAGTCATTTGCTCAGTTTGATGGAGAGAGAGTGAGAGGGAGCGAGAGGGATGAGATTAAAGTCAGGAGAAAAATTGGGGATAGAGAGAGAGAGAGAAAGAGAGAGAGAGAGAGATGCTGACAACACACTGCATCTGCAAAACAGCACAGCACTATCTTCCTGAAGGAATACCACCCCATGTAGAATAATCGTTGAAGTGATTATTACATTTACTAAGATTATTTTTCTGTCCCTGAGTAGGATGGCTTCAGGATAGACTGACTCACGGCTCTCATTCTTCCGTCTTCGGGATTTTCCATTTTTCTGTTCAGAGATAGCTTCCGTTTCGCGACTGATCCTCAACTTCAGACTGGGAACTGGAGTTCTCCAGTTGCCTTGCTGGTGCTGTTCTTGGTGTCATTTCTGCTGCCACCCTCACTAGAACCAGAACCGCGGTTAGCTGGGAAGATGCGCTCCGAGCGTGACGTCTGGGAGTCGCTGTAATCCCAGCTGGAGCGAGTGCGCAGGGGAGGTATGGGGAACTGCACAAAGCCCTCCATGAGGAGCAGGATCAAGAAGGTAAGGCCTGGCTCTGGGTGCTGGCTGTGGGTGCCGTTGAACAGCTGGGCCCTGCCTTCCCCCTCAGAATGGGGGTGAGAGGGTGTGTGTGACTGCTCGTGGACTGTGTGCTGTAGACCCCTCGTCCAGCAAGAGCCTCTCTCCTCCCATCCCTCCCTCTGTCTCTCTCTCTCTCCATCCCTCGCTCCCTCTGACTCCCACCCTCCATCCCTCTGTCCATCTCTCTTCCTCCATTCCTTCTTCCGTCTCCCATCCTCTGTCCCTTCTTCTGT